CAGGGAAATCATCTAGGCATGGAGTTTTCGTTTTAGAAAGGTTTATAAACTATGAGTTAAATTTCTTTAATTGGTATAGACTCATTCAAATTATATTTTTCAGATTAGATGAGTTGTGGTAGTTTGAGTTTTTTGAGAAATGGGTCCATTTATCTAAGTTGTCAGATTTATGTGTGTAGAGTTGTTGGTGGCATTCTCTTTCCTTTTGGTGTCTGCAGAGGCTGTAGAGATATCCCCTAATCTGGCCCTGATATTGTTAATTTGTGGCTTGTCTTTTTCTTTGTCAGTCTAGTTAGAGGTTATTAGTTTTATCATTGGTTTCAAAGGACCAGCTTTTGGTTTTGTTGATTTTCTGTATTATTTTTCTGTTTTCAATTTCATCAGTTTCTGCTCTTCATTATTTCCTTCCTTTTGCTGGCTTTTGGTATATTTTGGTCTTTTTTTTTTCCAGCTTAAGGTAGATTTTTATATTGTTGATTTGAGAAATGTCCTCTTTGATCCATAGATTATTTAGAATTGTGTTATTTAATTACCAGATATTTGGAGATTTTCTATTTATCTTCCTGTTGTTGAATTCAAGTTCAATCCCATTGTGATCAGAGAACATATTTTGCATGTTTTCATTAAAAAAATTTCATTGAGGTTTGTTTTGACCAAGGATACGGTCTATCTTGGACCATGTTTCATCTACCCTTGAGTAAATGTGTATTCTGTCACTCAGTGGAATTTTATAAATGTTAATCAGCCCCATTTATCTATCAGTCTGTTCTTCTACATCTTTGCTAACTTTTAAAATCTTCTTCTTCTATTGATTACTGAATGAGAATTTTGAGGTCTCCAACTACAATCGGAATCTTCTTTTTAATTCTATCAATTTTTGTCTCATATTTTGAGGCTCTGTTGTTGGATAATGAACGTTTAGGATTGTTATGTCTTCTTGGCAAATTAACCCTTTAATCATTAGGTAATGCTCCTCCTCACCCCTGGTAACTTTTTCTTGCTCTAAGGTTTCTTTTTTTCTGTTATTAATAGTCACTCATTTTATTTTGATTAGTATTGCATGTCACATATTTCCTATTCTTTTACTTCTAACTTACTTATATTTAAAGTGGGTTTATTGTAGTGTATAGTTGTGTCTTTTTTTGTATATTCTGAAATTTCCATTTTTAAGTTGTTGCATTTAAAGCATTTACTTTTAATGTAATTATTTACATGTTTAAAATTTTTAAATATGTTTAAAACAGATAGGTCTACTGTTTTATAATTTTTTTTCTGTTGTTTTCTATAATTTTTTATTCCTCTATTTCTACTTTCCTGCCTTCTTTCATGATATTTGAATATTTTTTAGTATTCCTTTTTTGTGTGTGTGTGTGAGGAAGATTGGCCTTAAGCTAACTTCTGCTGCCAATCCTCCTCTTTTTGCTTGAGGAAGATTGTCACTGAGCTAACATCTGTGCCAATCTTGCTCTATTTTGTGTGGGATGCCACCACAGTGTGGCTTGATGAGCAGTGCTAGGTCTGCGCATGGGATCCAAACCTGTGAACTCCAGGTGGCCAAAGTGGAGTGAGCAAACTTAACCACTATGCCGCCAGGCTGGCCCCTTTTAGTATTCCTTTTTAATTTATCTGTTGAGTTTTTGACTATGCCTCTGTGTGTGTATGTATTTTAATGGTTGCTGTAGAGATTACAACATATTTATACTTAAATTTTCACAGTCTACTTAGAATTAATATTTTATCACTTCACATGGAATAGAAAAATCTTACCATCCTCTGGATTCCTTAATGTGGTTATTTTCATATGCATTATACTGACATACATTGAGGCCTCATGGGATGTTATCATTTTTTATTTCATCCATTATAAATATTTTAAAGAACTTAGCAGAAAAATAGTCTCATATTTATTCAGGTAGTTGCCATTTCTGTTGACCTTCCTTCATTTCCAAAACTTCAAGTTTCCCTTTGAGATCATTTTCCTTCTTTCTTCATATCTTCCTTTGGCATTTCTTTCAGTGTAGGTTTGCTGTTGACAAATTTTGTAGTTTTTCTTCATCTGATAATGTTTTAATTTCTTCTTCATTTTTGAAGGATATGTTCACTGGAGGTAGAACACTGAGTTGACAATTCTTCTATTTCAGCACATTAAAAATTGTGTCCTTCAGGCATCCGTGGTTTCTCATGAGAAATCTACACTCCTTCACGTTGCTGCTGCCCTCTATGTAAAGGATTACTTTTCTTTGGCTGCTTTCGAGAAATTGTCTTGATTTTTAGTTTTCAGAAGCTTCATAATGATATGTTTGGGCATAAATTTCATTTAATCTATCCTGTTTTGAGATTCACTGAGCTTGAATCATAAGTTTGTATCTTTTTCCAAATTTAAGAAGTTTTCAGCCATTATTTATTCAAATATTTTTCTCTGTACCTCATTTTTTCTCCCTTTCTTTTGGGATTTCAATAGCATGAGTGTTAGATCTTTTGATATTGTTCTATAGATCCCTGAGTCTCTGTTTATTTTTTAAAATCTTTTTTCTCTGTTTCATTCAGATTAGGTAATTTCTATTCATTTATTTTCGAGTTCACTAAGACTTTCCTCTATCTTCTCTATTTTGCTATTGAGCTCATTCAGTGAACTTTTAAATTTGGTTATTACATTTTTTAGTTCTAAAATTCATATTTGGTTTTTTTATATATTCTATTTCTATGCTAAGACTTTCCATCTTTCTATTTGTTTCCTGAGTGCTTACCTTTACTTCTTGAAGCACAGTTATAATAGCTGCTTTATACGTATTGTCTAATAACTTCAACATTCATGTCATCTTGGGGTTAGCATCTACCAATTTCCTTTTCCTTGCTAGATGTTGAGATTTTCCTAGCATTTTGTATATCAAATAATTTTGGAATGTATTGAAATTTTGAATATTCTGTTATGTGACTGTAGATCTTATTTAAATCATATGGTAATTTTTTTCCAGCAGACTGTCAACCTGGTTAGGTTCAGGTCCCACTCACCTTCTGTGACCTGTGGCTTCCCATCAGTTTAGTTTTCAAAGCTGGTGTATTGCTTTTCTGATCCATACTGTGTGTGTATCACCAGTGGCCAGTCTTGGATCTGGTCAGTCAGTGATCTACCTTATAGTTCACTTCTCAAAACCTGTGGTATGCTGTTTGGGGTTAGAGCCACACATTTACAGCTTTAAAGGGAGCCCAAGAGTTCATACACAACCTTAAGAGGTCATTTTCTTTAGCTCCATCCTTCTTGTAATGTGCCTGACTCTTTCTGGCTGCGAGTCTCCACCTCTCTTTCCCATTCCTCCAGCAGGAAAGTAAGAGCTTTAGTCTCTCCACTCTGTTGCACATTTCCTACAACAGCTTCTGCTTCTGGGGTTAAGCAGCAATAGGACAGAGAGAGAAAAAAGCAATCGGATTCCTTGTGCGTTATTAGTACCACCATGAATCAGGCCATCTGGTCAGCAAGAAGGGTTCCCCTCCTTCTGCTCATCCACTGCTGCCATCACCATCACCAGTACTGAGGGATTGCCTGGGAGCTGAGGTTTGCACACATAGTAATTTAATTTCCTGCTAGAAAAACAAATCAACACACTTCAGAGGAAGATGATAGAATCCAGAGTCTCTATAACGTATCATTCACTATGTCTAGTATATAATAACACAGTAGACAATTAAATTACTGGATGATAAACTGAAATTTGATTTTAAGTTTGTTAGGTAGAAGACTGGTGTTCAGTTTTGTTTGGGTGAGTATGTGGGAAGCTCAAGATGTTTACCAAACCCATGCTCTACACTTTAGACTCTTCTTCCTCACAGGGTGCAGATCAAATCTCTGCTAACTTCTTTCAGTCTTCCGTTTATTATTTTCCACTAGGATCCTGGGAGCCAAACTCTGTCCTCTCACAGCTCAGACCAACAAGCTTGTAGCTTTCTGCTTGAATTCTTGGTGAGCCATGCAGACCAGGGAATATCCTAGTGGAAAAACCTTATACACTGAGATTACACACAATATGTTTCCTTCTTCCAGTTTCTACCTTCTTCTGGTCACTCTACAGTGGTTCTGAATAGTTACTTCTTATATCTTGGCCAGAGTTTATGATTGTTTCTGTGGGAGGGTTTCTCTGCTACAAGCTACTCTGCACATACCAGAACCAGAACTGCTAAATATATTGATTCATTCCTTTATCTACCACCTACATTCATAATATGTTAATATTTTGCCGTATTTGTTTTCATTTTATTTTCAAAAATAAAATCTTACAGATTAGGTTGAAGCCCCATTTATATCACATCCTCAGCCCCATTCTCCTCTCTTCTTCCCCAAAGACAACCAATGTTTTAAGATAGATGACCCTCTCTGCTCATGTCTCTGTAGATTACTGTCAATTTGTATATTTATATAAAATATATTTACATAAGTTATTTCACATTATTATTCTACAACAGTCTTCTATTTTCTAGGTCTATCCATATTGTAGATCTAATTCATTCATTCAAACTATTAGGTTACTATTTTAAAACTGTTAGTGATTTTCTCTGTTGCTTTAAGGGGGGGACACATAATTATCTTTTGGTCAGGGTTGTGCCTTTCTTTTGGGAAAAACTTTAATGCCCCTTCAAGTTATCTGTAGGTAAATCCAAAATATCATTTGGGATGGAGAAGTTACAGACAGGAGAAACTCAGCTGTTCTCTAATGGGAAGCCTGGACTCTGACGTGGGTAGAGTGGTGTCTCTGCAAATTGTATGATCTCATGTTGATGAGCTGGGGGAGCAATGGAAGCTGAGGACCCCTTTGGGATGTTTCTGTCTATAATAGATAAGATGGACCCTGAAAATAGCAGCGATCCGTGACACTAAAGAAGGAGAAGATGAGTTGAGAGACTTCCGGTGAAGAGCTGTGACCAATTCTCTCTAGAAGTAGAAATAGCTGATATCCAATTTTAAGTTTTCTTTGTCTGACTTTAAATTCCCCTTTATAACGTTCTAGTCTCCAGTGAAGATGGCTGGACTTTGGAGAGGTGCGGCAGCAGAGATCCTTGGAGCATCTGCCTGAATTGACAATGGATATAGAACAACCTACACAGACTTGCAGAACGTCTATGTCCAATCATTGGGACCATTAAAAATACTTAGAGAGAGGATCCTGTAAAAGATTGAACATCATGTTCAAGTGGAATGAGAGACTTTGGTTACTGTTATTTGGGGAAGTAAAGGGAAGACCCGTGAACACTGGAGTCTTTGTAATGTGCTTAATAAAAGGACAGAAAAAATGATTCACCTCAGGAGTACAAAACAACCATTTCCAAAATTATTAATCTCACCATTTAGTTTCATTTGGCAACCTCAGAATGCTCAATGCAATACTTGAGTTGTAGCAGGTGTTTCTGTAAGTGAGCTTTTTATAGAATCATGAAATAACAATGCTTTACTCCCTTAATGGGTTCAAGTTCTGGGTGGAGATAACGAGTCGATGTTTGATAGTTACCAGGGCCAAGTGCAGATCAAGAATTGCCTTAAAAAATACAATTCAGTAGGAAAAAGGAAATGTTTAATTTTCAAATGTCTTTTAAATTGGAAAATAAGCTTTTCAGTTAAAAGAAATATAAGCACTTTGGTGAATCCTACAGCAATTTTTGGTACTAATCCTTTCTTATTGTAGACATTTTCAAGCATTAGTGCCGAATGTTTCCATTCTTCAGGCTGCACTAATGAAGACTTCTAGGTAAGAGTCTTAGAGCACTGTGGGTTTATGAGTAAGAAACAATGAAAAAAAAGAAAACTCAAAATAGTGGTTTTCAATTTTATTTTAAATTAAATGAATTGTTTTTAATTAAGTGACTTTTAGAACCAGTAGTCTCCTTTTTAATCTGATTTCCAAGGTATTCATGTTAATTGAACCAGGTCATTATTTTCAAATGTTTCTTAAAAATTACTTTTTCTCATAGAACAGATGAATATTTTTTCTAAAATGATAATATAATTTATACTGACAACTACTCAGAAAATCTGGCTATAGATTCTGTTCTTGGATTGTCTATTGATCAGTCAGTTTTTGGAAAAAAACATTTTATTACTATTTTTGTCTTAGAGGCCTCATCATCTAAACTGAACTTTAAATCTTCCTTACAACATAAATTATTTGAACTGATTGGAGGCTGATGTTGTTACGTTAAAATTTAGATTTTGGCAAATCTCCTACAGTTTAGAAATCTGATAGGGAAAGCTTTGGCAGGCTGGCTTACAGCTTTAACTTATAAGCGATAACTGTGAGGGTCCTTGCTAAGCTCTGGAGGAAGTTTCAGTTGCTTTTTGTCTGTTAGGACATATAAGTTGCTGATCTATAAGTTATTCTAAAGCAATGCCTATTGTCCTGGAAGTCTTGGGTTTTGATAATATTTTGACTTCTTGAAGTACAGCTAGTTGGTCTGTTTATTAATTTCCTAATTGGTGTTTAAAGGATTCATTAAAAAAATGCCCTGGTCATTTGACAAATTAATGAGCTAATTTCAGACAGAGATAAAATAATGATGATAATAATCAGGATGATGAGATGTAAGCGACTGGGTGGCCCCTTCCGATGGAGTCTTTGTGAAAGACTTCTCTGAGACGGGACCTTGGAGCTGAGCATGGATGGAAACATGAGGTGGCCTGGCAGAGAAGGAGCTGGAGGAGGAGCAGTGCAGGGACAAGGAAACAGGCAAGACAGAGGCCCTGGGGTGGGAAGAAGCTTCCGGTGCTTGAGGGATAACAAAGAGGCAAGTGGAAGTGCAATGGCTGAAGGGACGAGAAGTCTCAGGAGAGCCAGGAGAGAGATTGAGGTTCAGACTGCGTGAGCCTTGCTGCAAGGAGTTCTGGTTATGAACGTGAAATTACGCCTAAGATACGGTAGAGTGAAAAAACATTGTTTCAAACAGCCTTAGTGGAAAGACGCCCTTCGTGTCAAACTGGATACTCATTTCCATATGTATCAATAAGCACAGAGATAGTTTGGGGTGTGTGTTCAGCAAAACGCTAACACTGGAAATCACTGGGTGCGGGACCTCAAGTGATACTTGTTCTCCTTTTTGTATTTTTCTGTATTGCTTGAATTGTTTACAAAAAACAACAGAGACATATCAAATATGCATTTCTGAAGAAAGAGCTGTGGTCCTTTTCAGCTAAGATTTGATATTAAGACAACATTGACATTATTGTGGCTTCCAAACTCATGAGAAGTGGGAAGAAGAGAGACTGATGAAGAAGAGTTTATTGACTTTCATTAAGAAATATAGAAATAAAGTGACACTCATTTTTTTTGTTTTCATTGACTGTGGAAGATAGAAAGAGGCTCAAAAAATCTAGAGTGCACAGAACACAACCAACCAAATCTCCCTCATTATGTACCAACATAAGCTTTCCACATACAACCTACGAAGTGCAAAAAGAATGATAAAACGTTAAAAAAAAAGATAACTGAAGGAAGGAGGTGGGAAGGTAAGAAGGAGAAATAGTATTCAAGCTCCACATGAGTTCAATTACTCATTCTTTCAATACAGATTTTAACACAATCTGTATTAAATAACAAGGGTTATGTGCAAGAAGTTGAGCTGGGTTAAATTCTCATGAGTGTAAGAATGAAATGAGGCCACAAAGGGAAGCAAGTAGGGCAGAAAGACAGAGCCTAGAGCTGCTGCCTTCTTGACAGAATGGTCGGACTCAGTCAGGGTGTCAATGTTCCACCAAAAAATAAAGGGAAGATCCTCCTTAACCTTACTTCTTCCTTCAGAATCTTTCCATTGTTTTCGGCTATGCTACTCGTTTTCACTTCTCCACATTTATCTCTTGTTTCCACCCTCATGTTTCTGTGGTATCCATGGAGTTCTGATACAGAGAATTCACTTGAACCAGCTTTGTATTTGATGTGTAACCAGTTCCATGGAAAACTACCAGGAGAGCTTTACTGTCCCAATGTTGGACTCCTTCCATAGATTCTCTGAGACAACTTATAAAAGTGGCTTGGGTTCCATTCCATATATGGAGAACAGGGTTTCCTGTCTCGATTCAATTAAGCAAATGCCTGTGTTTTGGCAAGGAAAAAAGACAAGCATTAATCATTTCCAGCTTATCCATATCAGGATGTTTACTCCCAAAAGACAAAGATTCAATTCATATCTTTTTTATTAGGACTTCCAGGTATTTTTCTCAATGTAGAAGATTCTAGAAAACTAGAAAAGATTCTTTGTAGACACATCCTTGCTCAGAAGAATAGCAGGGAGGCTGTAGCCGAAGAACACCTTGACCATGCTCGCGGATAACCGGCTGTTTGCACTGGTCTGCTGTGACTAGAGTCCATTCGTTATAGTGAATCAAGTTTGACAGTGGTCTCTGACGCTTCTGGCTGCTTTTGCCCTGCTCCCATCTCCACCCTTCCAAAGGTAGTAGGTTGTTGTCAGGGTTGGATCTGATCTGCGGCCATATTGAAATCCACCCTCTTCTCTCCCGCCTGAGCTCTGTTCCTCCATCCTGCAGGATTGCACCTAACTTTTTGCTTACCTGGGTTTCATGGGCTTAGATTTGACTCTCAATTCTTGCCCCAGTAGCTGCTACAGTTGGCTTGGTGGCCACTGCAACAGAGTTCCCTCTTACACTCTGTTTCAGCAACTGTATGAGCCGAGCTGAGGCTAGCACCCAGGCCGCAGCAGAACCATCTAGGTAGCGGCGGGCCTGGGCCACTTGGAGAAGAGATAAAGCCGAAGAAACAGAGTGGAAAACATGAAAATTCACGAGTCAATATGTCTTTAGACATACTGTCATTTTGTCTTCAATAGAAGACAGGGGCCCATGCTTGTGAAGGGCTGCACTTGTCACCAGTGACTTCCAATATATATATACCTCCCTGGCCACCCCAGCCACTAAAGGCTGTAGGTGGCAGCTGGGTATGCTTTTTTTCCTAGCCAGTTCTGACCACCAGTAAGAATCTTTAAGAGGACTGTGACATTTGAAATTACTTGCTAGCATTTCTGATTTGCAGACTCTATTTTCAGAAGGTTAGTTCACTTTCTTTTTTGGTGAGGAAGATTTGCCCTGAGCTAACATCTGTTGCCAATCTTCCTCTATTTTTTGCTCGAGGAAGATTAGCCCTGAGCTAATGTCTGTGCCCATCTTCCTCTATTTCATATGTGGGATGCTGCCACAGCATGGCTGACGAGTGGTGTAGGTCTGTGCCCAGGATCCGAACCCATAAACTTGGGCCACTGAAGTGGATAACATCGAACCTAACCACTATGCCATGGGGCTGGCCCCAGTTAACTCACGTTTTAATTAAACTAGTTTGGCTCCCATTTGGATAGTGATGGGGTACCTTGATTATGTTCTGGAACTAGGCATAATCTTTGGTAAACATTAGATTGACATATTTTCTTATCTATTAATTTTTTTCATAAAAATTTCTTTTTTAAACAAGCAATGCAACAAAACTTACTTAAAAGAAAATATTTAAAGTAATATGTATTTTAAAAGAAAAAATATGTGTACCTTAGTTACTAATCCATAACTGTTGATAAACACAGTTTAATCTGGCTTTAGCTTTATTCTTAGATTTTGACTGAGTATTTCCTTTTATCTCACTCCAAATCTTTTCATAAAGTTGATACATAGAATTCTGGGCTCGTACAAGTTAGTCTGGTATTAAAAGCCGTTGTAGTTTCTCAGGACTGGCATGACACATCAACTTCCAAATAAGAGATTTTCTTGACTACCATCATTCATAACTTTGTGCTAAACAGTTCTTTCCTTTGTGTAACAGAATAACTAAAAAAGAGAAAAACATGAACAGCATTCTATGCTGATAGTACAAAAGCTTAACAGTTTTTGATATAATCACATGGAAGTGACTTTTGTCGCTAGTCTTAAATAAATGATAAATAACTAATTTCCATCAATTTATTAGTTGGAAGCTGGTAATCATATGTTACTCAAGACTGAAACATTATACAGATCTTTCTCCCTTGTTTTATCTCATTGTGTTCCTGAAACTATATTCTCAAGTTGACTGTGTGGATTCAAACAATACTTACGTATCATAGGATTGGATCTATGTCCAGAAAGAAAAAAAAACCTCACAAAAAATGCCAAATTCTTGCTCCACCCAGGCCACCCAAGTGGTTAGGACCTATCCTTGACTTCTACTGCATATGAGTATGTCTAGCCATACAGCCTTGGGCTTTTACAAAGAATTTCCAGACCAGTTGGTAAGATTTGTTGCTGAATGTAATGGATATAGCTTACATTTATAATTTGTAGGGTTTTTTTTTTTTTGAGGAAGATTAGCCCTGAGATAACATCTGCCGCCAATCCTCCTCTTTTTGCTGAGGAAGACAGGCCCTGAGCTAACATCTGTGTCCATCTTCCTCTACTTTATATGTGGGACGCCTGCCACAGCACGGCTGGACAAGCGATGCATAGGTCCGCACCCGGGATCTGAACCGGCGAACCCTAGGCCACCGAAGTGGAACTTGCAAACTTAACTGCTGCGCTACTGGGCCGGCCCCTAGAACTTATAGTTTTAACATTTACAAACAAAAAAAGGGTATTTTTTATTCATGGGAAGAGAAACTTCTCATGCAAGGATCTCAGGAATACGGAGCGATATTCATGGAGGCAGAAGCGGTTGGTTCTATTGCCCTTGTACCTTGCGTTGAGTACCTAAGGTCCTGTGCCCCATCAATCGGTTCTAGTTTACAGATAGCCACAGGAACTTGGCATTGTCAAAAATCAATATTCTAGTTCCCTTGAGGCGTCCTCTGGATTTCCTTTTGATCACATCCTTTAGTTACTTGTCTCCTTTTTCTGTTGTCTCCTCCTTCACTCCAATCTGGGACCACAGTTGAGAAGAAGTCTCATTTCCCCACAGCACTAGCACACGCTGCTCTGGGATTCCTCTCGGTGGAATGCTGGAGGATATTTGGAGACAAGATCCCTGGCGTGAGGGGTTGGTATCCCCAAAATAAACAGTGGCGGCAATGGGGTAACTCCAATGGTGTTAATGCCTTATTTCCTTTTTCTAAAAGAAAATAATTTATTTATTTAAAATATTAAAAAGATCACTCATGAGCATTTTTTTCTCATATAGAATCAGTGAATATAACTGATAGGAAGTAAAGAAATACAATCAAATCCAAGAAATAATGGCAGGCATGTCTTATTCTACAGCAAATGTTCATACTTAACAAAAAATATAAAAAACAAAAAAAAAAGAAACCCTCCCAAAATGAAGGGGTTCAGTTTCTAGCTATGCTTTTCTGTATCACGCTCCTTCCTCTTCCTGCTGTGAACGACAGCAAGGTGAATAGTTGGCTTATGGGTTAGGGTGTCTGGCTTGTTTGTATGGCAATTTGCCTTTTTTTTTTTTTTTCAGGACTAGCTAGAGGAAATGAGCTGTTGGTGGGGTGTACCAAGGATATGAACAATTTAGCTCACGTGCTTTAGTTTTCCTTTCCAACAAATAATAAATGGAAAAGGAAGCTGAGTTTGTGAGTAAATGTAATGTGTGAATAAACATGTCTATGATATCAATCCTGCACTTACACTACTCCTGTCATGTCTGTGTTGATGGTCCCAGTGGACAAAGTGGTTGGAATTGAAGGCCACCCAGTTCAGGGATTAGTTCTAGTCATGGTCCCAATTATTATTGTTGCTGTTGTTATAAAAACCGAGTTGTAATCCTCAGAGTCGAATGTTTTGATCCGTGTTATGTCAAGACAGCTAAGGCGGTCAAATTCCCCATATCAAGCAGCCATTTGGCAGCCATGATCATTATCACTCTCAGTGTAAACTAACTTCTACATACTCTGAGTAGATAGCTATGGGCTTTTAGATGGCTAAGCGAGCCTCACTTTAACTGAGGAAAGAAAAGAAAAAAAAGTTAATTTATCTACTGATTTCTTTCCAGGTTTACTGAAAGTCAGGGCCCGATCTTAGTCAGTTTCCTGGAGTTTACAGGGAGCCTGCTTCTTTGCCAAAGTACTGAGCGTTCATTACCTTAAAGCAGCAAAAAGGACATCGGCTTCCTTATCAGCTTCTCAGTTCCTGGATTTGCTGTTTTTAGAATAGGAAAGCAGTAGCTGCCCAGAATCCACAATCTGAAGAGCTGCTGGAAAAATAGATCTTTCTTGTTTCTTGGAATCAGAGGGAGATATTTCTTGGCTTGCTGGTGCACAATTTTAGTTGTCTTCATATCTGTTCATACCAGTGAAAAAAATGGTTCATTCATTTCTTCTAGTATGTTCATGTATGTCTTTATGTGTGTGTGTGT